GCAGGGAAAGCCATATGGAGAGAGACTGAGGGAGATGAGTCTTTTCAGGCTTGAGAAGAGGAGAGTCAGAAGGAACCTGTTAGTGACATGCAGGTATGTGAGGTGTCACAAAGAGGTGGGTCGTGACCTTTTTTCCTGTGCAATGAGGGGCAGGATTCGTTGCAATGGAGCAAAGCTCAGGGAACCAAGATTCAAGGTGGATGCCAGGAAGTACTTCCTGATGGTTAGAACCCCTAAGTCATGGAATGGGCTTTCCATGGGAGGTGGTTGAAGCCCCTTAGTGAGGGTGTTTATGGATAGGCTGGACATGCACGTGGTGGCTATATCATGAGTGGAGCTGGCCGGAGCCGGGGGTCAGACTAGATGGCCCAGGAGGCCTCTTCCGATTCACTCTGTTTCTATGTAAGCAGAATTGTGGATGGATCTGTATGACAATCCAGGAGGTCTCATGATAAAGAAACATTACAATAATGTATGATTTCCACTACTCCCACAAGGACCAGATAAAAGCATGTTCCAGTCCTAAAAAGTTAAATATGTCAGTGCCCTAAATGACTATGTCCTAGAACAATCAGTCATGGAACCAACCAGAGAGGAGACAATCCTGGATTGCTAGGACCAAGTACAACATGTAAATGTTGTTGAATCAGTTAGATATAGTGACCACAGTCCTATTAAATTTAATCCACATTTATGTGAAAGATGTCTAAGGGGTCCAACACATCACATCACCAGATGGTCAACACAGAAATCAGACTAACTATGTGCTCTGTAGCCAAAGATGGAGCTCTATACAGTCAGTAAAAACAAGACCAGAAGCTGACTGTGGCTCAGATCATGAAATTTAGGCTTAAATTGAAGAAAGTAGGGAAAAGCATTAGGCCACTCAGGTATGACCTAAACCATATCCCTAACGAATATACAGTAGAGGTGACAAATAGATATAAGGAATATTAGATCTGATACACAGAGTGCCTGAAGAACTATGGACGGAAGTTCACAACATTGTATAAGCGGTAGCAACTAAAACTATCCCAAAGAAAAAGAAATGCAAGAAAGCAAAATGGCTGTCTGAGGAAGCTTTACAAATAGCTGAGGAAAGAAGGGAAGTGAAAGGCAAGGGAGAAAGATACACCCAATTGAATGCAGAATTCCAGAGAAAGAAGAGGTGGCAAGATTACACAGAAAAACTATACAAGAAAGAGTTTAACGTCCCTCATAACCACAATGGGTTGGTCACTGACCTTAAGCCAGACATCCTGGAATGTGAGGTCAAACGGGCCTTAGGAAGTCTGAGGAACAACAAAGCTAGTGGAGGTGACAATATTCCAGCTGAGCTATTCAAAATCTTAAAAGACGATGCAGTAAAAGTGCTACACTCAATAAGCCAGCAAATTTGGAAAACTCAGCAGTGGCCACAGGATTGGAAAAGGTCAGTTTACATTCCGATCCCAAAGAAGAGCAATGCCAAAGAATGTTCAAACTACCGCACCATTGCAGTCATTTCACATGCTAGCAAAATTATGCTCAAAATCCTACAAGCTAGGTTCCAGCAGTATGTGGACTGAGAACTTCCAGAAGTACAGGCACAATTTCAGAAAGTCATAGGAACTAGAGAGCAAATTGCCAACCTATGCTGGACCATGGAGAAAGTTAGGGAGTTCCAGAAAGACATCTACTTCTGCTTCACTGACTATGCTAAAGCCTTTGATTGTGTGGATCACAACAAACTGTGGCAAGATCTTAAAGAGATGGGAGTCCCAGACCATCTTATTTGTCTCTTGAGAAACCTGTATGCAGGTCAAGAAGCAACAGTGAGAACTGGACATGGAACCACTGATTGGTTCAAAATTGAGAAATGAGTTCGGCAAGGCTCTTGATGCAGGTGAAGGAGGAGAGCACAAAAGTTGGCTTGAAACTCAACGTTAAGAAAACTAAGATCATAGCATCCGGTCCTCTCACTTCCTGGCAAACAGATGGGGAAGAAATGGAGGTAGTGACATATTGTATTTTCCTGAGCTCCAAGATCACAGCAGACGGGGACTGCAGCCAAGAGATTAAAAGACGCTTGCTCCTTGGGAGGAAAGCTATGGCAAATCTAGACAGCATACTAAAAAGCAGAGACATCACCCTGCCAACAAAAGTGCGTAAAGTCAAGGCTATGGTTTTCCCAGCTCAATGTACGGCTGTGAAATTTGGACTGTAAGGAAGGCTGAATGCTGAAGAATTGAGGCCTTTGAATTGCGGTGCTGGAGTCCCTTGGACTGCAAGGCGATCAAACCAGTCAGTCCTAGAGGAAATCAACTCTGACTGCTCTTTAGAAGGCCAGATCCTGAAGATGAAACTCAAATACTTTGGCCACCTAATGAGAAGGAAGGACTCCCTGGAGAAGAGCCTAATGCTGGGAACAATAGATGGCAAAAGAAGAAGGGGACGGCAGAGGATGAGGTGGCTAGATGGAGTCGCTGAAGTGGTGTGAACTTTAGTGGAGTCCGGGGATGGTGGAGGACAGGAAGGCCTGGAGGAATGTTGACCATAGGATTACAATGGGCCGGACATAACTTCGCAACTAACAACGACAACAACCTGTACCTCAACTAATACTTTCATGAACACAATCTTAGGAGTTAAGGGACCCCAACAGAAAAGGACAGCCGTTGCTGCATATTCACTAACATTGGGTCAGCCTCAGCATTATGCTAACTGAGGAGCAAATCCAAGAGCAATGATTAGACATGGTGTTGCCAGCAAAAGGGAGCTTTCAAAGAAAGAAATGAAAAGAACAGTCATGCTGTAAGCAGGCCAATAAAAAACACAACCAAGGAAACAGCGTCAAGTGGGAGTCCACTTTGTGGTAGTAGCACAAAGCCTCAGGAGTACAGCGGTCAGAGAAGCAAGTTTTCAAGACACTGGGCACTCAGGCAAGATATTGTTCCAGCTAGTAAGCTTTTACTGAAAGCCAATATAGCCAGAGTTTCCAGAGAGGTACTCAGCTGCAGCTCTTTATGAACCCTCTGGCAAAAGTCTTCCTTGTGAACAAGGCCTTGTGCACGAGGAGACCTTTCTTTTCAGGAATGTTTCCTGACAAGCAGTCACTCCTTCACCTGGCCATAGTTTTAGCTTATACCTTCAGGCTCTGGAATTCTTAAGGACTTCGTGGTGGCCCAGTATCCACTGCTGATTCAGAAGGAGTGCGTCACCCTTTGAAGGGAAAAATCTGAAGCCCTCTCTCCCTGGTGTTCAGGATCTTCTTGGTAAACCTCAGGGTCCCATGGAGTGTCTTGTGTCTTGTTTGGGATTCTTCCAGAGAGGGACACACACACACACACACACACACACACACACAGGGAGAGTGCATAGATAGATTCCTATGTGTACATATGTAATAAGAAAGGCAGAACTAAGGGGACTTTTTCCAGGGGTGTGGCATCCACACAGCAGATTAATGCACTGTGCTTCAACCAGGACTTCGAAAGAGAGAGAAAATAGTTCAAACAACTATTCAAGTCCAAAGATAGACTTTATTTCCACATGCACATGCAGACACTTAACAAAAGAGAAACACAGTCTGTTAGTATACCAACCAGTATATTAACTGTAACTGTCCTAACAGAAATAGAGAAAGGCAAAGATTGGGAAGTGAATCTTCATCAGTTACTGAAATGGCAAAGTGAGGAATAGGACCAGGTGTTAGTGAAAAGGTGTAAGTGGTTCATGGGGACAAAAGGATAGAATCAGAGGAGGAGAGAGAAAGGAAAAAAAGCAGAACATATACAGTTATAATTATCTGGCTTCAAAGTAAAGGGAACACAACTGATGCCACTTCCTGGTTAGTCAAAAATAGTTGAAAAAATACTGTTGGCACAAGATACTTCCAGGTCTCCAGCATTTTTTGACCATAATGTAAAAATGAGGGGAAAACCATAAGCTACTTAGGCATTCCTGAGTGACAAACTTTCCAGCCGGACAAAGGATGATATATTCAAGAGCAGTCCTAACAGAACTGGTACTTGCAGCAGTGAAGGGGTGTTTAGCTGGCTGTACAGCAATGGAGGTAATGGGATGAGAGCTGCCTTGGTGAGAAAAACCTAGAGCAGATGCAGCTATGGAGCATTCAGAGCAGGCTCCTGATGCCACCACACTGGGCACTGCTAACCACTTTCCAAGTACCATGTTGTAGCACCTGTACTTTCTGATTCCACTCCTCCGCTCTGTCTCCAACTTCTGTCCCCCCCGTCTCCAGTGACACAACATGGGGACAACAGGTGTTCTCTGCCTGTCACTGTTCAGTGACAAGAGACAAAGGTGCACTTTGTATCCCCTTCCACCAAGGTATTGTACTGGCAGTTTTCAAAAACCAGTGACAATAAGCAAACCAAGTGGGAGAGAGAGAAAGAGACAGGCAAACAGAAGAACAGGGGACTGAGCAATCCCTTACCACTTTCAGCCAGAGGACTTAATTCAATTTCAGGGAAGCTCTCCTGGGCCACTTTCTAGTGGGAAGTGGGGGCAGAAGGCAAGAGCAGCAAGTCCAAAAAGGCCAGTCACATTTTCATGTAAAGCTCTTATTGGAAAACCTGGGCAGCTAGACTAGAACCTGAGGTGGGCTGCACTTGGACCCCAGGTCTGAGGTACAACATCCCTGCAATTTTGCTAGACCTGTTTCAGCCAATGACTTATGCCAGTGCAACTGTGATAGAAACTGCCACTAAACATCTGTAGTTTTTCAATGCACTGAAAATGACTACTCAAGCAGCAAAGAAGGTGATAATTTGGCCAGACAATTCAGTTTAACTAGTACGCCAATCTGGTCTTCCAAAGTTTACCTCCTATATTTTCTTTTGTTACTTGTCCCAAAGGTAGAATTCAAATTTCTCACATGAAACTAGAGAGAAAGCATTGGAAATTGCATAGGTATAATTGTTACAATTGCCTTGAAAGAGTGTTTTCATTTTCCAGTCAGTTATTGTGCACTGTTAGAATGCCCTTGCAAATCTCACCAAACAGTCTTGATGAACTGCAAGATTCTGTTCTTCAGCAATATACATAATGGCACATTCTTCATCCTCTGGGCAAAATGCACATTGTCTTCTTACCATCTTCGCCATTATCAAAGTCAGCTTAGCAAAGGCACCTTAGGAAAAGATTTTAAACATTAACACTTTCGTTCAAGGAGGGGATCAAATGGCTTATATGCACGTTACACAACAAAAACACCCCTCAATTTCACCCACTCACCACCTGCTTTTCTTCCACTTTCCATAACAAGCCAGGAATGCTGTGTTCTGGGTTGTTAGTTGCGCCATCGAAACCTGGCACTCTGAGTTGGTGAAGATTAAACAAACCAGAGTTTCATCCCTATAGCAAAGTAAAAATTCTCAGTGGATTTTAATCAACAACATTGTTTGACAGATTCAGACATCATAACTAACAACCCAGTAATGCTCCATTACAACCCAGTTGTTTCAGAAAGTAGATGCAAGGCAGAAGTAGGAAATGTGTGGGAAGTTCCCACTCACTTGCACTCAGCTCTGATGACTCACTGGTTAAGCAACTGTGCTGTTGTTGCATCCTGGCTGGACCTTGCAAACTGAACCTGTGTCTCTGAGCTTAATCCTATCCAAGGTTTTTTTCTCCAATGGTTTTATTACTGTAGGCCATTCTGTAGTAAATTCCAGCTGGAGTTGTTTCAGCTAACTGACCACTTCATTTATTACATTTCATAAATGAAATTTCAGTCGATCCAAACCCTCAGTTGTGGTGTCGTCCTTAGAAAGCATAGGGTTTAAGTCATGAGGGAGGCTCTAATCTGTCAAGTCAAAATTTGCCAAAATGCCTGAATCCTAAAGCAAGATTTAAGACCCCCTTGGCCAAGATAAAATATAGGGGTTTTTTGCTGTTCTTCTTAGGCATATGACACACTATTTCCTAGAATGGGGGGAAGAGCTCACAAATTACACTGCCATCTTAAATTGGCAACATCATACACAAACAGGTTTCACATTACATCAGTGAATGCATGATGTGTAAAAATGACAAAAGTGGAGCCCTAAAAAGACCCAAAACTGCACTGAGTGATTTAGAACTAACAGTTTCAGCTCAGTAACTGTGAGGATTTTTCCCATTATTGTGATATAAACCAAATTTGCACTGCACCTTCCATGACAGAAAAGTGCTTTGTCCGTACATCAGCATGTATCAGCTTACAGAGGAATGGGTTTCCTATCACCGTGGGACATTGGGAGATCTTTCTTTCAGTACTTCAGTCTCCCTCATGTTCTGCACTAATGACTAGAGAGGATGCCCTTGTGATATTCTGACTGCTGGATCAGAAGTGGCAACCACCCTGATGCACAGGGAGTTAGGGGCCACAAAAAAATTGCAGCAGCATCCTGCAGTTCACCATCCCTGTGGTAAGATATGTAGCATATTGAATCAGGGCAATGATATAATTTCTTTTTGGAATTGCAGACTCCAGTGTGTTTTAGCAATCCCACAGAAAGGATTTCATAGTGATAGAGTATGAAGGTACAATAATAGATTTGTCAGGTCAAAGTTAAAAAAAGATTGGAGGTTAAAAAAAAAAAAAAGACTCCAACTAATTCTCATTAGTTGGAGAATTGTGCTCCAAGCCACTGCTATAACCTGACAGACCAGGTATACTTTAAGCAAGTTAATCATTAGGGAAATGTTTCACTTTCTTTTTATTTACAGTGCTTTTCAACAAGTTCTCAGAGTAGTTTACGGTAAATGCAAGCAACAATTTAAAATACCCTAAAGAAGTATTTTACTCCAAAGTTTTCACAGCACTTATAGAAATGAAATTCTTCATCATCAGCACCATCTCTTCCTTTAGCAGGATGTCTCTTGAACCTCACTGGTGCCACTGGGCAGATAGTATCAGCTGGTCCTGTCCCTTGGAACCTTCAGAAGAGACAGCTGTTAATTAATGCTCTAGTGGTTGTGAACAGCTGTTGAAGATTCTGTGATGCAACAAGGCAAGAAGTGCTCTCCTGAGCTTTCTTGTTGCTGTTGTTGCTGGGCCAGCCTTCAGTAGCTTCAGGGATGCAGCCTTTTTGCCTCTGAAGTGTGTTACCAGGCCAGAATACCACAAGATTTTAATGTTTAAACAGTGCAAGGGTGGCACATAATGTAGGCAGATGGTGTCAACTGCCCCTAGCTCTTGGAACTGTACACTCTATTTGGAATCTGAAAGCTGATGCCCATGCAAAATGTACACCTCTCCTGACAAGTGTGAATGGCAGGTCCATGTATATGTCAGAATCTATTACTGTAAAAGCCTCAAATGACAAAGAAAAACTGTGCCCACATTTCCAAGCATTCAAAATTTTATATGCAAGTCATCTCTGGTCTCCAGCAAAAATTACACTATGATGTATACCCTAATACAGTGGTCCCTTGGCTCACAAACTTAATCCATTCCAGGACTCTGGTTGTGACCCAAATTGGTCATGAGCAAAGTCAAATTTCCCCATAAGGTTCAATGTAAATAAGATTAAAAATAAATAGTTACAGAATGGATTAATCACAGAAATTTGAAGCAGGCGCGTGCGGGGTGGGGGGGAGATGGCGCGATAGTGATCATCACCGATGAGGAGTTTGCGACGTGAGGCAAAATTTTTCAGAAATTTCTGTTCGGGACCCGATTTGGTCATGAACTGAAGCGTTCATGAGCCAAGGTGCCACTGTACTTTCATTTCTCAGACTACCAATCATAATGACTTTAGCCTTCTTTAGGGTTGGTTATATTAGCTTGCACACACACAATCCTTCAGTACCTCCAGTACTGTACAAGAACCAAGACTGCAGAGCATGGGGCATATTACAGATGCTGCCAATATTCCCGATCTGCAGATTCCACTGTGAATACTGCATGTGGACATCAAGGGATCTGCAATTCAACTTTGCCCTTCAGGACAAATGGCAAGTACATGAGCGTCAGACTTGGGAACCAAAGGGCAGGAGTGACACTGCAGTTGTGCCGCAGAAGCAGAAAGAGATCCTCAAAAGCGCACGGAAATAAAGGAATGAACACCCACTTCCAGGCTCCAAAATGGAGAAGATTGGGACTTATTTTTACCCTACATTTCCAAAGTGCTCAAAACACCTCAGAAACATCTAAGAATGATCTTATGTAGCTTCTGCTTTGGAGACAGCAGAGATGAGGTAAACCAAAACCTTTAGCTACCTTTTGGAGGTACAGTCTGAGTTTAGCTGCAGAGTACTAGTGACAATTAATTTGGGAATGGCTAGTACGCTAGCCCACATTTCTGAATATGTGGCAAATCTGAGAATATTTTAAACTGTTTGCACACATGCATATTCAGCCAGAAGACTGGATCCCACATAAGAGTGGGAAGTTTTACACCATGTATTCACTCCTTTTTCTAGATTTCAGAGAATAACTTGTGTACGTCCCAACAAGAAAGCAGGCTTAAAACCAATTTCAGACCATTACATCTATCCATTCTCCTCCATGGGGTTTGCACAGCTGAGCTACATTTCTCAATGGGGATTGTGACAGCTGTAAGCTAATGGACACATTCAAGTGTTTGCACATCTTGTTACTATTTTTAAATTGTCTTTCAAAAACATGTGTGTGTGATCATTATTCAGAACTAGCTGCAAATTCGGACTACTGTATGGATAGTGTCAATATTTGAAAGAATGTAGCATTCATTCACAGCTGCCTGTTCTGTGTGTGTGCATCTGTGTGCATGCAAATCCTCAATATAGGCAACTCACCAAATATGGACTTCTGGTACACTCATATTTGAAAGTACATTTGAACAGCCATGTTAAGCTGGACTGCTCCATAGCCAGAAGACTAGTTTACAAAGACTCAAGTCCTAATTTTATATTTATGGTTACTGCATGACTTAAGTTTTTTTTACTAATGGAGCCAAGTCATGTCTTGGATATAACTTAAATATTTAACATATTCAGTTTGTGTATTTTATTATAGTTTATTCAGAAGTTTATACCCTGCCTTTTAAATAAAATGAACTTAAAGTAGCTATTTGTAGCAGTTTCAAAGTGATTATTTGTAATTCCTATTTCCTTTGAATAGTTTGAACTATTAAACACAGAATGTCATGGGCTGTAACTATAATTTATGTATTAATACTTATGGGGTGGTATCCAGTCGCAGCGTTGCCTTGGGGGAAAGTGCTTCTGCAAGTTGAGCATCAGGAGGTGCTGATACTCCTATCCACTGCAGCCTTCTCTGATACATCAAGTTCTGTTTCAGAGACCTACAGCACCTACTGGGCCATTTATTAGCAACTGCTCTGTGGGAAGCATACTAATTGCTTATTGCATATTAATATTGTCTGCTGTGGATTTTAAAAAGTGTATTTTAACTTGACCTGTAATTTCCCTTGCAAGGATTTGTATCCTGAAAGATATATAAATAATTCCCATGCATGGATAAATTTCCTTCATGCCACCAAAACCTCCAGGTAACCACATCAATGTTTAAAGTGAGGACTTGAAAAATTAGACTTGCTCCTCAGTGTATGCCCTTTCGCTCTGCTAAGAACAACACTAGGCATCAATTGCAACTTGGCCCAGGAGTCAGTGGCTGGAATCAGACATAACATTAACCACAATGGAAACACCACAGCATGATTTGCTGTGTTGTGAGAACCAACCATGTAAAGGATGGTCTCCATATAACCATGGAGAGAAATGAAGGCCTGTTGTATGGTTTCCATGCAGCTGCCAGAGTCCTGTGGAAAGAGTAGCTGCTGCTGCTGGAGATGCTTCTGCCTGCATTCTCCAGATATGCAAACTGAAGAATATGTTGCAGTTAAACAAACTACAGTCTGTCAGGTACTTTGAGTGTGGATAAATAAAAGAGTGGTACATATCAGTCATCTTAATTACTTCCATATTCAATAATTCTGTAGCCAAGATATGAGACAATGTTCAACTAAATGTGCGATACAGTGCTTGCCAAGAGTTTCAAACTGTCTGGATAGAATTTTTTGAATATTTCTACAAAATGTGACCTGACTTAAACTCATAAATGCCTGCCACCTACCAGAAGCAGAACACTTGCTCCCATGAAGCAAGCTGAGCCACAGCTCCGTGGATTAGGGCCAGAATAGGAGGGTGGCCAAGTGAATGAATGTTCTCTTTCCAGCTTCTGCCCTCCTGCCAGTCTGCCCATTACTGGTGACTCCTCTTGTCTATCCAAAGTAAGGAAAGCCAGCATTGGTGGCATTTAACACCTGGATTGAGAAGAGAAGATGGGGTGGCAGCCCGCAGAAAAAGAGCTATGAACTGCATGCACTATGGTTGTGCAGGGAGGAGAACAGCTGCTTTAATCTCATGTACCACTGAAGTGAGTTGAGACACAACTCAAGTAGCACTCATGCCCTGCTTCATCCTCTTGCCCAGGGCCATGGAATGGACGAAGCATCAAAGCAACATAGGAGCAGTCGCCAGCCTTCCATGCCCATCATTTGTTTTGTTGGTACTGCACATGAACAACTCTAGTGGAGACTATGGAACAGAATCAGACTAGAATTCTGAACAGGACAGGAAGCAGAGAGTCAGAGGCACACATACAGTTTTCCTGTGTGGGAATTCTGTTAAGTCTGGTACAGGCATAGTGATGGAAGATGACCTGAAATCTGCAGCCTGCAATTACAAACTGCAGAGAAAAACCATCTACAAGCATTCACTTTTGTTTTCGGCTGTGACTTCTTAGAGTGATGGGTGGTTATGATTGTGTGTGAAAAACCTGGTGGAGGGCCAACTTCTGCTTTCATATCAGACAGCAAAATGTTTTGTATCATTTCTGGCTGTAAGCAACTTATTTTGTGGTTTTGCTACTACAATCTATCTCAAAATTACCTGTTAGTATTTAAGGTGTCATTAGACCTTCGTTTTTTCTTGCAACAAGCTTATACTATGCTCCAAATGGAAGCTGGCCCTTTTGTAGTTAATGTAGCCGAAAATGACGGAGATGCCAGTTTCTCTGTCTTGAGATACAGGTATCGCAAGGCAAATACCACCTTTCTCCGAGGGGGAAGCAGCCACCTCCCTTCTGGGGTGAAGCACCTCAAACTTTAAACTGCCGCTGCTGCATAAAGCAGGCAAGACACTGCTGGGACTGGGACTACAGGCAGCGCGCGAAGGCGGAGCAACAATGCCAGCTGAGGAAGCGAAGAGGGGGCAGGCAAACGGCGAAGGGGCTCGCGATGGGGCTCGCCAACCACAGGGCAGGCTAGACTCTAATTATCCCCTTCCCCTGCCTACGTGCCCAGGCGACCCGCGGCGGCCCCAGGCGAGAACAGGCCGAGCCCCTCGCTCGGGGCGAGAGACGGTGTCGACGGGAACGGAAGCAGCAGCAGCTCGGGTGCCGCGAAGGATGCTTCCTCGCTTAGGGGCGCTCCCGAGGCCGGAGAAGGCCCCGTTCGGGAGGAGCCGAAAGCGAGTCCGCGCGAACGCCGCCGCTTCGATCCCCTCCTTCCCTCGGTCCCACTTACTGTTGTCCCGAAATCGGAAGCCGAGCCGCGGCCACAGTTCCTGGAGCGGAAGCAACCCGCAGCGCCCCGAGAAGACGCCGCAGCCGGCAACGTCACCGGCACTGGGCTGAGCACGCGTGCGTCGCGGGGCCCGCCGCCTCCAAGGCTCCGCCTGTGCTTGCCCCCGAGCGGAGCGGAGCGGAGCGGTAAAAGCGGCACGGGAGCTCTGGAGCAGCTGTGCTCCGCAAGAAGAGCCCTAGCTTCTCGAGGAAGACATCCTCGAGACGACCGAGCGGACGGGTCTGCCCCGATTTACATAAGCTGCGGTGCCTTGGAGACGTTTTCATACGCACTTTGCATTTTTGTGTGTTGCGGCCTGGAACTGAAATGGCATTAATTGGCATTGTGACCAGTTGATCTACACAAGATGCATAACCCTGTGATGGTGATTGTTTTAAAGGGTGGCTCAAGAGTTACACAAACCGGTACTGGTTGGTTGTACGTTTACTATGGCACACCTAAATAAGCTCTGGTGCAACGCACTGCTTCCGGAAGAGACATGTTGCAAATAAATGAGTCCATCTGCATGCAAAATTTCAGTGTCACGTGATCTCAGATTAAATACATCTGTTTCCAGTAGGTTCCAGAGGTTGTTGGCAAGTGCATCTTATCAAATAGTATCTTGAAGCCAAAGAGCTCTTAAAACCAGGATAAAGTTTTTTAACAGCAGGAATCAGGGATGGGTTATAAACCCCACCCACTTATACTATGACTATCCCCTGAAAAACATTAAATCTATTATTACAACATAGAATATGGCTCAGACATGATTCTGTCTAGAGAAGACCATCCACCAAACCTTGGACCAGATAAGAGGGTATTAAAGGAGCAAAAAAGAGGTCAGTGGCAACTCTGAAGGAGCCTGAAGGATCTGCAGCTGCCTGTGGGACCTGGATACTCCAAAAAGCTGGGTTTTATTGAAGAGTGGCAAGAAGAAAGACATTGCACAAACAAACCCATATAAAATCCTGTATGAAGTTTTCAAAAAGGCAGGTGGGAGACACATTGTATGTGGATAAAACCAACACTGAGCTTTGCACTTTACTGCAAAACATTGTGTGGCACAAAGTCAACACTATGCTTCATTTCCCCAGAGTACACCTCCCCATGGTAAAGAATGATGGTAGCGGTATCATATTGTGGGGATGCTTTTCTTTGGCAGGGACTGGAAAACTCGCCAGGATTTGAGGGCAAAATAGGGTGCAATGTAGGGCAATCCTAGAGGACAACAATTTTTGTCTGCAAGGGACCTAGGAATGGGACAGAGGTTTCCCTTCCCTTCCAGGAAGTGAAACACCCTAAACTCACAGCCAAAGTAACTCTGGGGTGGTTCGAAAATAAGAACCTGACATGATCGGTCCCTTGGAGAGGAGCCCAGTGTGGAGGCTTTTCGGGGAGTTGTTTGCAATTAAACAAATAGACCATTAGCTAGAACAACACTGGCAGAAAACTCGAAGAACAAGTCTGATTGATGTGGGCAGAGCTCTTTTGAAAGTATCCTTAAGACAAAAGTTGACCAAATTCTGCCACATGCATTTCCACAGAATTGCCTGGTGGAGCTTTTCAACTTATATAGCTTTTATACATTAGCCTGTGAGAAGATGTGGACCAATCAAAATATCACAACCCATTGTGTCCAATTTGTGTGATATTTTGCAGATAAAATCAATTGTATTTGTACTAACTTGGATGTCATCCTTGATAAAGGTTCAATGAATGAATCTTTAGCCTCTGCTTTTCTGATTATAATGAATACTTTTCAATTTGTATAGCATGAGGATGCAAGCAGGATTCTTTTAAGAGGCAAGTCTCATCACTTTTATGTTGGATCGTTGCTTAGGGGATAGCTGCCAAAAGGAACAATATTAAACACATACTTATAGAAAAGTATGATTCCATCTTGCCTAAAGAGGAGGTAGTAAGACCTCTTCTTAAGCAAAACCCTACCCTGAGTTTTAGAACCAGCTCAAATGAGCAGATGAGTCAGTAGTTGTCAAGTGACACACATATCACATAGTAATTCCTTTATTAATGGCAGAATTCTCAAACTTCCATACATGAAGACTGTGATAAACACTTCACGCAACCAAGTTATTAAAAGATAGCTGCTTTATGACATGATAAACATGGTCATGTTGACTGGCCCACAGTAACACAAGGCCCCTTTCTGTACATGAAATACTAATTAAGCCCTACAGATACAAATATTCTATAGTATTTTTTTCCTGCATTTATTACTCCCACACTGACAGGTAATCTCTTTTTCAGGCATACTTCCAGGTTCATAACCATAATCCCATGTCAGTTCTGTTCCAGCTTTTACATGCCTAGGAAGCAAACATATCACCCAGTTAATATAACAGCAGTAATCAAAGAGTAACTGAACTTACTTGATGTATCTACTTTCTAAAAATGACAGCCCTTTTTCACACTCACTGTCTCAGGTATGACTACTCTGGCTGGGGAAATGCACTATTCATATGAGCTGTTACTTTTATTTCCTGAGCAAAATGCATGTCATTTTGGTGGGTAAGTGATTTAAGCATTCATGGATTATGGTGCATGATGGTAAGGTAATGCTTTCTCTTGTGAAGTTCCCAATAAATGAAGAGAGAGAGAGAGAGAGAGAGAGAGAGAGAGAGAGAGAGAGAGAGACAGACAGACAGACAGACTGTGGCCCTGCGATAAACAGAGTTAGTGGGTAAGAAAGAATTCTCATTTTCCCCACACCTATAGCAGTGGGAAAGAGAAAGAGCTTGCTACCACATAAGGAATAGGCTCATGGCCAAGAGATGGTTGAAATCAGTTTCCAGGTTCAGTATCAGTCTAGTAAATTTTAAAAAAGAAGATCTTTGGGCAACCGTGGAGAGTAAGTCCAGCCAATTTTAAAGTAGACATTGTCAGAAATTAATGTTTAACATTACATAGAAAATAGTAAATATTTAAATAATATTTTTATTATATAGCAGACTATGGAATGTGCTCCCCAGAGAGGTTCTCCTGGTGCTGACTTTATACTCTTTTCGGTGCCAGGTAAAGACCTTTTTATTCAGCCATCATTTTAATAATTAAGGTTTTGAGATGTTTTAAGAACTGACCACAGTTGCATTCTTTTCGTTTTCTTCCTTTCCTTCTTTTCTTTAGTCTTATGAAAATGTTGTTTTATGTTGACCTACTATCTATTGTTTTAATTATTGTATTATTGTAATATTATATTCTATTTTAATCATTGTAAGCCATCCTGAGCCATTTGTCGGAAAGGATGGGATAAAAAGGTTTAAAATAAATAATTAAAGAAAGAAAGAAAAGGTTTACTAGATAGTGATGCATGAACTATTTTAACTATCTGCATATGTTCAATAAAGGGAACCTTCCAGGGAAAGGGTTAGGGTTAGGGTTCGGGTTCAGACACTGAGTTGTTTTTCAACTGAAAAATGATCTCATTAATTCTATCCTAAGCTGAAAACTTATCTGTATTATGAACTCCATGGCCATTATTTTTCACAATCAGTTTGCAGATACGTCAAATAGAAAGTATGATTCATCTTGCCATGTTCTACAGATGGAAGGAAATCATTAGGTCCACAGCACTTTTCATAATATCAAGTGCTTTAATAATGAATCTTTATGAAATATTGACTATAAAACTTGTACAGAATATACATTCTATACAAAATATTATTAACAAAACATTCTTGCTATACAAAAGTAGAAATACTTTGGGATTTGGGAGGAGTTTTAAAAAATTATTGTGGTCACTCAGTGAGATGTTTAAAAATATTTCAGTTATAAACAAGTGGTAGTGCTGGATTATACTTATCCAGTATATTGCTGATGCTGAAAATAAATAAAATCCAAAACTCCTAATCAGAGATCTACCAAAAACACAAAGACATGCAGAACTCTAATAATGGTTTCTTTAGAGCAATAAAATGATAATGTTATGGTTAGCTTACTCAGCTAAGTTCTTCCCCCAAAGATCATGCATGGGGAACTCCAGCAAGATTAAGAAGGCTGGCCAGTCTTTGAGCCTGGCTAATATATTCAAACAGAACCCAATTACAGTAAGAAAAACAAGATAGCATTTGAATGTTATAAAGACATAAAGTCTGAGACTATGTAAAGCTCAGCCATTTCTGTACCTATATCTGATAGTTTCCTTCAACAATCCCTTGAAACATCAGGCTTTTTAAGAAGACATTTTTGCTGCCAGCATTGCATGCATAAGGATGCATCACTACAACTCAGGCAGCATCCTATGCTATGCAAGTTAGCCAAAGCCATGCAGCTCTGCTTTATCCCATTCTATAAAATAGGTTAAAGTGCCTATTGTATTATTTTGCTAGCACAATACTTTGCTGTTGCAATATTCCATTGGCCCTGAGTATGCAGGATAATATAATGGGCCAGCAGTAAACTCACTCTGTGAGGTGCGTTCTGTTGTTTACAGCTCAAGAAGATCAAAGGGCAGGTGGTATATTTTGTACATATTTTCTTACTGGGGACCCATTTTTTGGTCTTGGTGTTATTTCTAGTGAATGAAAGCAAGAACATATTTCAAACCTGTTTGTGAAGAATGCCACCCAAGGGAAATTTCTGTTGTGAGTCTCTACAAATACACTCTGCACAAAGAGGTTAGGAGAGCAGCTGTGCTATAAATAAAACAAACAAATGAAAGTTAAAATGGAAAGACCTGTTTTTCTCTTGTGAAAACTTAGAACATCCTCTTCTACATTGAGAAAGCCACATTTTCAAGAGGTACTGTGGGCAGTTTTCAAGACCAAAGTTATCTCCTCAGTTAAGATCTTTTCTTTAATAATAAGATATTTAACGGGTATTTAATGATTCAAGAAGAAAGAGACTCTATCAAAAACATGCCATATTTGGTTACAATATGTAGACAGAAAATGTCAACAAGTGGTGAACTCATGAAACAACAGGTGTATAATACCTGAAATAACACTTCTTCCCAATGTGTAAATGCATTGTACGTGTTCTATCAGAAAAAAAGGAGGAGGTTATTAAGATTCAACAGTAGTTTAGCAAACCTTCCCAGTGTCCAAAAGCCAGGATAGTTTCTTGAAGACATGGAAAGGCCTTATGGCCTTTACTTTACAGAAAAGGCACCAGAGATAATTGCCTTGAAGCTACCTTTCCCAGTTATTTTAAATGATAATGGCTATTTCTGTTGTGAGAACAAAACAGTTTGCCTTACTGAAGTTGCTTTACTCCCCCTAGTTCTCCCAGGAAGGAATATTAGAGGCTGTGTGCATACTGACAGACTTTGCAATAGTGAGAAAGGGGAACCTTATAAATTCCATAGCAAGAGGCATTGTCTTTTGTTCATGGCCTAAAGAGCAGAACTGATACACTGCTCACCCTGACCACTTTGAAAGCTGAGTAATTTCTTGCAAATACAGTCACAGATAGGAGAATGTAAGGTTTTAAAAACGTATTTATATGTAACATTCACATTTCATTACTGTATTCAATAAACTGTGTATCAACCAAACATGTTAGATAAGAATCAGTTCACAAGTATCACAACAGGAGGCTGCTATGAGACACATCGACATGACAGCATGTCACCACAAGAGAAGATGCAGAGGCTGTCAAGAAGTTAAAAATGGTGTTGATGGGTCTAATGCCTTTGTGATCCTGGTTTTGATAAACTGATGGTTGTGGTTATTGTTATGTGCCATATGGCAACCTCATGAATGAAGGCCCTCCAAAATATCCTGTCTTTCATGGCTCTGCTCAGGTCTTGTAAATTCAAGGCTGTTGCCTCCTTTATACAGTTAATCCATCTCATATTTGGACCTCCTTTTCCTCTTCTGCCTTCAACTTTCCCTAGAATGATTGTCCAGGAAGTTTTACCTTCTCATGATGTGCCCAAAGTATGACAGCCTTTCCTCCAGCATAATGTTTTACATTTTCTTCCTGTCTGGGCAGTAATTAATACAGGGAAATGCATTCCCTGTTAGCCCCCCCAAAACAAACAAACCCCGAAAGCAAAGCAAACTTGGTAAACATAATTGCAATGGGAGTGCCAAATGGGAGCATGTTATTATGAGAACATTTGGGCCAGACAGAAACAACATTTTGTGCATTGATTTAGCATGTGAAAATAGGTATAAGCATCATCCAGAAAAGTAATGTTCTCTAATCTTTTCTTTAGACATATAAATAGATATATGTCAAAGTTAAAAAAGCACACACACAATTACTATTAATCCTTACATGGTGATAAGACATTTCAAATTAGGGTCTAATACAATCAACATTGGTGCAACATAAATCTTAAACATTTCAGTGGGACTAAAACTGAATACAATTCTTTGTCTATTAAAAATGCACTACTCTTAACAAATGTGGGGGGAGGTTGTTGTGGCAACTTCTAAAATTAAATCTTTAGCTGCTGGTCTTTACTCAGTTTTTTTTTAAATTTTGAGGAGACATCAGCCTTCCAAACTTAGTAAAGATGAACTGCTAATTCTTGGAGTTTGTATATGCTTACATGCAGCTAAAGTATATGTGTTCAGAATGCAATCATATTTTATAGCAGTTGAACAAATACCCTTGAGGTTTACAGAAATCATCCAGGCTCCAGTATTCTTCAGGGGAAGAATGCCAGACAATGACTTCCTGCAATGACTTTAGAAAGGCGGGTGTCTGCAGTAGCCAACAGTTCAAACGGCATCTTTGTTAGTGCTTGGAGGACCACTGAAAGATGGTGTCACCAGGATACCAGATCTTGGTCACTACTTTTGTTAGCCGTGGGAATGGTGGGAATGTGTAAAACAGAGTTCCATTCCACTGTTGCAGGAACGTATCACCAAGAGATTCTCTGCCTGCCCCTGCCCTGCAGCAGTATCAGCTACACAATGAGCTACATTTCAGGCGAAGCACCTGTTTCAAATTTATTTATTTACAGTATTTCTACCCCGTCCTTAACCGCATTAATTACATTAAAAATTTAAAAACAAAATCATCAGAAGCAGAGGTAGGAGAGGGATAGACCATGCACGCTGCTGCTAGAGGCTGGGCACAAGCACTGCAGCTTCCAGATATTTAGCACCTCAACATGTTGTGAGCGAGTTCATGCCTAGACTTTACAAAACACTAGCCTAATTTAAAAGAAAGCTGGCATACCATTGTTACTTACATTAAGAAACCTGCCCACATTGCCTTCTTCAGTGGCATCAAGCAAACAAGGATTCTCTCTATTTTTTAGGTATGTCTCCTCGTCTTCCACTGCTGCTTCCTTATGAGCAAGTTCTTGTCTGTCTCTCCCAATCATTTCCTTGTGAGTATCATCAGTACAGAGTGGATCATTGTGCGGTTTATTAATCCATTCCTCTGTTTGGAGAAAAAATGTTAAAATATTAATTTCTCTTCTCTGAACACAAGGGTATTCCACACTTTGGGATTAGGGTCTCTTTAGTTGGTAGGAGTTGCATGTTTTCTAAATAGTTACTTTGCAATCAAGGGAAATACATAATGAAACAGAATATTTTTGTAGAGATTTTGATGGCTGGAAGAATTCTTATTATCACTGAATAAAAAAGTTTTAGACTTGACAATGATGTATTTCAAGTTCAAAAACAACAATTCTCCAGGATTTAGTATCATCACATGTAGACTTCAGAAAGACTTTGTTTTGAATCAAAATTCTACCAGTATTCCATGTAACTTAGTAATTGTATATTGTTACACAGTGTATGTTTATCTATATTTGTAAAAGTGCATTTTAAGAGTAAATTCTAGATGTATCCATCTAGAGTTTTGGCTGTGGTGATGCTGTACTTCAGAAAACCCTTATTTCTCAATGAATGTGTATATTATCCTAAGAAGCTGCTTATTTTGGATTTTCCCCTTTCTCCTATTTTGCAGGAGAAAGGAGCCATTCTGAATGCAGCAGACAACAAATAGTACCGTGTTTTTCAGATTAAGTGACAAACCAAGGTTTATTTACATGTGTGTGTATGTACACACACACACACACACACGCACACCTTGCATATGGGATGGAAGAAAATACAGGATGCTCCAAATTTTTAGGGAAGTAGCAACATCTTTCTTTCTTTATTTTTCGATTTATATCCTGCCTTTTTCCTACAAAGGGCTCAAGGCAGCTTACATCATTCTCCTTCTCCATCTTATCCCCACAACAACAACCCTGTGAGGTAGGTTGGGCTGAGAGTCTGTGACTGGCCCAAAGTCACCCAGATCGTCGGAGTCCCAGTCCCATGCTCTTAACCACTACGCCACACTGGCTCTCTTGTACTATAGAGAACCGGCCTGTCTCTTGCTCACTCCAAAATGTTCCAATAGATTTATCTGATTCTGAGGAGGAAGTGGGAAAAGAGTGAAGGTGTAAAGACTTGAAATTCCAAGGTCATCTAGTGAAGTTTCTAAGGCAGAACATGAAAATGGGTGGAAGGGTTTTCAGAAAGGTGGCAGGGGGACACATATGCCTGGAGCCAAGGGTCTTGCTGGTTTGGGTCAGGCTTCAATGGGCTCATATCAGACTGAAGTGACTGGCAACACAACTGGGGAGACATGGCTCCATTGTGGGGCAGCCATTGTAGAGGTAGCTAGGGCTGCTGGCGGAACAGACACACCACAATGCTCAGTAGTGATCAGTGAGTGGTGCCTGGTTTTTTTTTTGCCAATTTCTTCCTACCCAGTTTCTTTGTCCTTTTGGGCTGCACTGCCATTTTGTGTTTCTTCTTCTCCTTATGCTTTTTGGGAACATCGGAGGAAGTTGGTTGATTGGGCTCTGAAGAAGCTGTTTTTGGTACTCCTGCTGCCGCAGACACTGGGTACTTTCTGAAGGCCTCCTGAGAGGTGGAAACATGACTACTGGAGTTACTGGTAATGGCCTGCATAGCAATAAGAGCCATTGTCCAAATTTTGGTCTTTAGATGGGCCAGCCCTATTTTTTTCAGGCTTGCTTTGTAAATACCTGGCAATGAGGGCATTTGTTGATGTGATGCTTCTTGCCAAGGCAAAACAAGCAAAGTGAATGTCCCTCAGTGGATGACATTTTCATGCCACACCTGATGCACTTTTGAAAAGCCGGTTTGAAGGTCATAGAGGAAAAAGAAGAAGATAGAAAGAAGAGAGATTTGAGGTAAAAGGGATAAACAATAGAAGGGTTTTTTGTGGCCAGGGGGTGGAGTTGTGGGGGGAGAACTGTAGGGTAGGTTCATAAGAAGTGAGGAACAGAATGAGTTTGGGTAGGAAAAATGGGTGAATAAAGGGGAATCAAGTGAGTAAAGCTGTGAGATAAACACTAGGATCCCAAGGCACTGCAAACGGCAGTCAAAAGTGAACTGAGAAAACGCTGGGAGCCCCACTTATTTATGCTAAAGAGTAAGGGATGGGGCTCCCACCAAAAATTCTAGGCTTAGCTAGGAAAATCTTCCCACACAGAGGCACTGTGCAGGCACAGCACCCATGCTCAGAGATCACAAAGAAGAACACCCTTTACTCCAGGGCTGGCTCTACAATTGTAAAGTGTGAGGCAGCAAGTTCTGGTTGTGGAAGTGGTGGGAAGCAGCAATGAAGTGTTGGAAAATAGAGATGTGGGTGCTAGGCTGTGGAGATTTCTGATGAGTGAGTAAGGACAGGGATCTGTGCACCGCCCCCTACTCTGCCAAGGTAACCTGCTGCTGTCACATGCAGTGAAGGATGTAGTCTTTCAACAGCACTTAAGTAAGATTTAAGTTACACAGAATCATAGAACATTAGAGTTGGAAAGGGCCATGAAGGTCATTGGGTCCAACTCCCTCCTGTTGTGGGACACCAATTTACACCAACCCACTCAGATGACTGTCCAGTCTCCTCTTGAATGTTTTTAGTGTGGGAGAACCCACCACCTCTCTAAGCAGCTGGTTTCACTGCTGTAGTGCTCTGACAGTGAGGAATCTTTTCCTTATGTCTAGTCTGAATCTGGGTTGTTGCAACTTGAATTGATTATTTCATATCCTACACTTTGGTATCAGTGAGAAGAGATCTTGACCTTCAAAAAGGGTAGTAGAGGGGACATGGGGAATTACAGGCCAGTTAGTCTTACGTCCATTGTAGGAAAGACAATAGAAAGGTTCATAATAGCAAGAGATCCAGTAACCCTAGGTAGGGAAGGGAGGCTGGCGGCCATGCAACATGGCTTCCTCTAAAACAGGTCCTGCCAGATGAAAGTTGTGGAATTCTATAACTAGGTTTTGAGGTGACTAAATGGAGGGGATGCAGTGGATGTGGTTTACCTGGATTTCAGCAAGGCCTTTGAGAAAGTGCCACATGAGATCCTGGCTGAGATATTGAGGAGTTTTGGGATGGACCCATGCACTGTCTGATGGATTAGGGCATGGTTGAAAGACTGAAAGCAGAAGGTAACTATTAGTGAGGAATCATCAGTATGGTGGCTGGTGATAAGTGGGGACCCCCAGGGATCTGTCCTGGGACTGTTCCTGTTCAATCTTTTCATCAATGACCCGGAAGAGGGGCTGACCAGTCTGCTGATCAAATTCACAGATGCTACTAAAATGGGGGCAGTGGCTGATGAGCAGGTACTCAGGATCCAGAAGGATCTGGACAGACTATGGAAGCGCACAGAGGACAACAGGATGGCATTCAATGCAGATAAGTGCAGGGTCTTGCAGTTGGGGCATAAGAATGGATGTCATAATGACAGGTTAGGGGACAAGTGGCTGAAGAGAAGAATGTGTGAAAGGGATCTCGGGGTACAGGTTGACTGCAGGCTAAACAGGAGTCAGCAGTGTGATGCAGTGGTCAAGAGGGTGAACACCACCCTTGGTTGCATAGCTAGAAGCCTGACTTCTAGATTGAGAGAGGTATCACTGCCACTCTGTACAACTCTGGTGTGCCCGCAACTGGAGTATTGTGTTCAGTTCTGGGCGGCACATTACAGGAAGGATATAGCCACATTGGAATCAATGCAGCGTAGGGCCACAAGTATGGTGGCCGGATAATAGGGAAAGCTGTATGAGGTGAGACTGAGGGAACTGGGTCTTTTAAGCCTGGAGGAGACTCTGAGGGGATCTGTTGGTGACATGTAGGTATGTGAGGGAGTGCCATGCGGAGGTGGGTAGAGACCTACTTTCCCCTGCAGAGGAGGGCAAGACGCATTCCAATGGAACAAAGCTCAGGGAACCATGGTTCAATTTGGATGCCAGAAAGTATTTCCTGGGGCCCCAAGGATATGGAATGGACTTCCATGGGTGGTGGCTGAAGCCCCACTGCTGAGGATGCTCAAGGATAGGCTGGACATGCACATGGTAGGCATGTCATGAGCAGAGCCGGCTGGAGCTGGGGGTCAGACTAGATGACCTGGGAGACCCCTTCTGGATCACTCTGTTTCTATGTTTCTTTGTGGCAGCCTTTCAGGTACATATAGAGTGATGTCATGTTCCACCTCAGTTTTCTCTTCTCAAGGCAGAGCATACCTAGTTCTCTCAGTCTCTCCTCATACATTAGTTTTTCCAAACCCTGGATCCCGTTTTTTTCCCCCCTCCTCTGTACCCTTTCTATTTTCTTTTGCCTCTTTCTTAAATATTGGGGCCCACAACTGGACATGGTATTCCAGATGAAGGCTGACTAGTGAGGACTACAGGGGCACTACAACTTCTCATGATTTGGAAATAATACTTCTAATGCATCCCAAAATAGCATTTGCCCTTTTTGCAGCTGACAACAACTAAGCTTTTTAAAAAACTTCTTGGGTACATTCAAATTATGCCAGATGCTTTCAGCAGGGCTACTAAGTTCCTCTTCTGTGCAGATATATGTGTCTCTTATATACAGTGCGACTCCACCTCCCTTTTTGTCCCTTCTGTTTTGCTTGTACAGGTTGTACCCATCAATTATAGAGTTCCAGTCACGCGAGTCTTCCCACCAAGTTTCAGTTATTTCAGTAAGATCACAATTGCCCTCATGTACTATGAACTCAAGTTTGTGTTATTTCTTAACCATGCTCTGGACATTGGTGTTGTGCCCTGGTATTCTTCCTACTTTTTTGGGAGACAGATGTTAGGCCCTTCTTGAGTTTTTTTCTCTGTTGAAATATAAAAGTAGTTTCAGTTTAAAGACCTCTTGATGAACACATGCTTTCCATTACAATAGACCATCTTCCAGGAACCTTGTTGTTGTTGTTAGTCGCAAAGTGGCGTCCGACCCATCACGACTCCATGGACAACATTCCTCCAGGCCTTCCTGTCCTCCACCATCCCCCGGAGTCCACTCAAGCTCACACCAACTGCTTCAGTGACTCCATCTGGCCACCTCATCCTCTGCCATCCCCTTCTTCTTTTGCCATCTATTGTTCCCACCGTTAG